GGGTGCGCTGCATCCTGCTAAGGGTGTTCGGCATCTTGTGCTTACTTCCTTGCGTACGGATGACAGCTGCGTATGAATTACTTTATTTTCTGGTGCTTTCACTTCCAGAGACAGTTGTAAGCACTGTGTAACTGCCTCGAGGGTGCTTGACCATTTTAACACAACGTGGTGCGATCATCCCCCTTGCGCGGAGCGAGGGTTCTCCACCCCGCGCAACATGATCTACTCGGCCACCATTATGCTTACCGTCAAAAAAANCGACGAAAACCCAACCCCGATGGCAAACACCGGGAGGGGCGGCTTGTTTTACAACGTCGTTGCCAAGCGACGAAAACCCAACCCCGATGGCAAAACACCGGAGATCTGACAATGGGGGGGAGTTTTTCGGAGGAGAATTTGCGTCCGTGTGCAACGAGCTCTTGATTAAGCAAGAGTTCACCCCGGCTTACAGTCCCCAATACAACGTGTTGCAGAGCGTGGTTTGGGATTGATCGAGGCGGCGGCAATGGCTGCCCGTATTCAGGCAAAAGTTTTGTTTGGGCATGTGCAATTACCTGAGACTGATAGACTAAGGGCTGAGGCCAAGCACTGGGCTTGCGAAGCAATTAACCACACAGCTTGCACGGAGATGTGGCATGGTGAAGCTAGTCATGCTAGGCCGTATCCGTTTTTGAAACCGGCTTACTGTAGGTGACAGCGACTGTCTAAGCTGCTGCCGAAGGGTGAGGCTTGCTTTTATGTCGGTCTTTCGAGAGACCACCCGCGTGACTGTCATAGAGTACTTACGAGGGTTGGCACTATTCAGGAAACGAGGAATGTGACGGGGGAAGCGTTGCCGTCACAACTCCCTCCACCGCAACCGTCTCTCTTGCCGATTGGGGTCGCAGAGGAGGGAGGGGAGGAACGTGACGACGATGTAGAAGCTGCCGAGTTTACCAACACCGAAGTGGTGAAGAAGCTGAAGGAGAGGCTCGATGTGGACCGCCGGGCCCTCGCGCGGAAAGAGAGCAAGGAGGAGAAGAGCACCGGAGAGGGGAACATGGACGCGGATGAAGTGACCGAGTCGACGGAGGTGATGACTTTCTTGAACGAAATAACGGTACTACAGTATGAATACAACTTTTTGTGAGACTACGGACTGTGTCGTCCGTTTTGGGTAGGCTTGCATTCATGTAGAGAATAACTGGGTAGTGCACGGAGCGTCGTTCATTTTCAGACCTCGGCCGTTGTCGGCGAGGAAGGCGTGTGTGTCCCGGCATGCGCAGCCACTGTGCGTGGACGGGGTTAAGTTATACGGCGCGTGCCACACGTGGTACTTTGCTCACACCATCATGCAACTCCTCCTCGAGTTATAGGTGGTGTCTACACGGGCCTGTCCATGATAATCCACGCGCAAGTCTGGTATTTTGTTTGCAATGCATCTTGCCTGTGACCGTTGCCCCTACCGTAGCCGATGTTGTCGTGCCTGCTATTTTTAGGTGTTGTTTCGCACGACGCGAGGCCCCGACATGTTGGGCTATTGGGCTCGCTAGTGTGTACACTATTGTGTGAAGCGACATCCGTGCGCTAAACGAAAGAGTTCCAGCGCGATGAATGTATTTTTCATTGTGTACTGTTTCCGCGACGGTCGTTGTGCGCTCCCGGATCTGCGGTGCAGGAGGAGGAGCTGAGGAAGGCCGTCGAGGCTTGGACATTCGGTAAAGCGACGAAGAAGGCCACCAAAGTCACCAAAGTCGAGCACCGGGAGATGGGGGAGGAGACCAGCGACCAAGCAGAGCAGGCATTCAACTCTGGGCCCGAGGAGCGGGGGGGGACGCGAGGGAATCGCGCTTTTGGCGGAAGCGGGGGGGGGGGGGGGGGGGGGNGAGCAGGAGACAAAGCTTGCCAGTGGCGGTATGGGCCGCGCCACCGGAGAGGCGAGAGGGGGTGGCCCCGCAAGCGCCAAGTCAAAGCTCTTTCCAGCGGTGGTGGTTCGACACAGGCTGAGGGAGCCATGCTCAGCCTCCTCGGGGAGAAAGTCGAAGATAGGCGGGCGGAACGCGCTCAAAGGGCAGGAGGAGCAGGCGCGGGGGGCGGGTCGGGCTCAGGGAGTGCCATGACGCAAAACGACTTGGAGAAAATGGAAAAACGAGTCGTCAGCAGGCTCACCAACAGTATCTCCAACGTGGTCGCCGAAAAGCTCGCCGACGTGTTCCGGCAGTCTGTGGGGG